TGCGGTAGCACAGTGGATTAAACTGCCAGTTGCAGAAAAACTGGCTGAAAGGAAGGTTGGAAGTTTGAAGCCAGGGTGAGTTCTTGCTGTTAGCCCCAGCTTCTGCCAACCTAGCAGTTCGAAAACATGTAATGTGAGTAGATCAATAGGTACCGCTCAGGCCCGTAGCCAGGATTTCGTTTTGGGGGGGCTGAATTTTTTTCAGGGGGGGGGGGCTGAGTTTCGGGGGGGGGCTGAGTCTAAGTGAAAGAGGGTCTAGCCTAGCAAACCTTTTGTATCATTACCCCAATACCCCCATGCATATGGGATATATTGAGTATGGTGATCAGATCATGATATGAATAAACATAACAGTTTAAATAATGCACCAATAAGGCCTTTTCGCGAACCACCATGAAAATTTCGGGGGGGGGCTGAAGCCCCCCCAGCCCCCCCCCCCCCCCCCCGGCTACATGCCTGGTACCGCTTTAGCAGGAAGGTAAAATTACTGGCAACACAACCAGGAGGTGTCTATGGACAACAGGCTCCTCGGCATGGAAAAATGGGACAAGAACACCTCTCCATGGCCAGGGTTGAGCATTACCTCCAGATGCTGGAGATGAAAAGGGAAACCTTTCCCTTTGTTTGTGTATTGTATGTCATTGTTCACTGTATAAAAGGCATTGCATATTTGCCTAGATATGTATATACTGTAATCTGCTCTGAGTCTCTTTGGTGAGCTACAGCGGAATATAAACAAAGTGTATTATTCCTTAGTGGCAGAAGTGGGTCAGACTAGATGCCCTTTGGGGATCTTTGACAGCAGAGTCTCTTCCTCTGGAAGTTTTTGAACTAAGGTCAGGCGAAACGAGAATCTCACAACCCTGAAATATTGGATTGCAGCTCCCAAATAACAAGGTCTATTTCCCCCAAACTCCACCAGTGTTCACATTTGGGCATATAGAATATTCATGCCAAGTTTGGTTGAGATCCATCATTGCTTGAGTCCAAGTGCTCTCTGGATGTAGGTGAACTACAACTCCCAAACTCAAGGTCAATGCCCACCAATCCCTTCTAGTGTTTTCTGTTGGTCATGGAAGTTCTGTGTGCCACGTTTGGTTCAATTCCATCGTGGTTGGAGTTCAGAATGGACTTTGAGTGTAGGTGAACTATAAATCTCAGCAACTACAACTCCCAAATGACAAAATCAATTTTTTTGAGTGATGGTCCCTTCTTGGGTTAGTGGCGGCAATTCATCCAATGGTTTTTGAGTTATGTTAATCCCACAAACAAACATTACATTTTTATTTATATAGACGTTATATTTATTATTTGTATGTATAGCACTGAATTTTGCCGTAATCTGAAAGCCGCTCTGAGTCCCCTTCGGGGTGAGAAGAGTGGGGTATAAATATAATAAATAAATATTTACCAGAGTAAACACTATGAATAATAACTTTCCATTTTAGTAGCGAATAAGGCCAGAGTTGGAGAAAGTTCCTTCTGGGGCCTAGAATTCCCTGAAATGTAGAGAATTCTGGGAGTTGTTGTCCAACCTCTGGAGTTGTTCAACCATTAAACCAGTTTGTGAAGTAACGAGGAAAACAGGAGTGGGTGGCAAATTATCATGGGCACAGTTGGGTTCAAAGCCAGAGAAAGCAGGACGGAGCTTGTGAGTTCATTCATTCCCTTTCCCAGGAAGAAGGGAAAGGAGGGCCTGGTTGTGCCTGGAGCGATGTTGTCGCAATAGCATCATCCTTTCAGTCCCTTGGGAAACCTAAAGCCTGGATCCTTATACATTCTTCGCCTTTCCACACTTTGATGTCCGAGTTTCTTGTTTCCGTTGAGACATGGAATCGTCAAATGTCAGAGCTGGAAGCAACAAGGACCAGGTTGTGGCACAGCTGGTTGGGAAGTCAACTGCATTAAAATCACTACTCATGACTTCAAAGTCAGCCCAGGCCGGAGTAAGCTCCCGACCATTTGTCTAGCTTGCTGTTGACCTTTGCTACCCGAAAGACAGTTGCATCTGTCATGTAGGAAATTTAGGTACCGCTTAGGCAGAGAGGCTAATTTAACTAATTTACAATGCCATAAAATTCTCCAGCAGTATGCAAAAGAATGAGGAAGTACTCAATCAGTGCCACAAATGGATAGTGAAGTGACAGCTCCCCCAGTGGCCGGAATTCGAAGCATACCCTCATGAAGCTGGAAAGTTAAATAGCCTCTGTGTGTCTGTCTATATATATGTTGCATTGAATGTGTGACGGCGCGAGTGGCGCCACCTATGTATAGAACTGTTAGTTGTAAGATTTAAACTGTTGTATCATGCTTAATCCTGCCCCTTTTTACCCTGCTTATGTATAGTTGTATGGATTGGTTGCTTCTAGCTGTCAATCAGTACTGTTTGGCTCCACCTCTTCCTGCAAGAGGGGAGAGCTTCCTTTTTCTTCTTCATTCTGCCATCAGAGTTTGTACCAGATGGACATGAGTAAGAGACTTGATTCTAAAGGACCCTGATTTAAGTTACCTCTTAGCACCAGTTCTGAGGTTTTTTACCCTTGGGAGTCATGCTTTTCCTTGGGGGAAAGGTGCCACGTCCATCCCTCCTTCATTAAGAATAATAGCCCCCAAGCGCGAGGGCACAGAATGTTTGCCATGTAGATGTGCATTGTGATCTGCCCTGAGTCCCCTGCAGGGTGAGAAGGGAGGAATATATAAATACTGTAAATAAATAAACAAACAAACAAGGGCCACCTTATTCTGCCATGCAGTGTGATTTGGGGATGTCTGGCACCTCCTCTTTGGGCTTGGAGGCCTTGATCCCAGTTAGTATCCCTCCCAGTTCCTTTTCCTCTTCCTGGCTTGGAGAGCTTGGTCTCCTCTGGAGAGAGCGGCCTTGAGGAGGGGCACCTCGTTTGCAAACAGCCTGCCAAGCCTCCTTTTTGGGCACCCCTTCTTCGGGCTTGGAGGCGTAGACCCCGATTAATATCCCACTCACCCACCCCCTGCTCCTCCTCTTCTTCCTGGCTTGGAGACCCTTTCCCTTCCCCAGAAAGAGCTGCGTTGGAGGACCGCTCTTGTGCAAAAGTGTGCCAAGCTTTACACACAGCAGGTCTCCTTTTGGGGCACCCCTTCTTCGGTCTCGGGGGCGTAGTTCCCAATTGCTATCCCTCCCAGTTCCTCACTTCTTCCTCCTCTCTTCTAGCTTGGAGAGCCTTCCCTTCCCCAGAAAGAGCTGCGTTGGAGAGGGAGAGTTCTTTTGCAAAGGTGTGCCAAGCTTTATTATTATTATTATTATTATTATTATTATTAAACTTTATTTGTACCCCGCTAGCATCTCCCGAAGGACTCGATGCGGCTTACAAAGGCCAAGGCCTCAACACACAATACAACAATACAACACCTAAAGCAAATTAAAAACAATTAAAGCAATATAAACAACAAAGAATAAACAATACACTAAGACACAATAAAACTGGGCCGGGCCAGAGTAATGGGTACAGGATTAAAAGTGCTGATGTGACAGGTGGTATATAAGGCTTATAGGTAAGTGCAGTGTGCAGTGTGCGGCAATCTTAGTTCTAATAAAGTGCTTCTGGGACTTGGTATTGGAGATTTCCTATTCTGGGAAGGCACATCGGAACAGCCAGGTCTTCAAGTTCTTTCTGAAGACTGCCAATGTAGGGGCCTGTCTAAGATCTTTGGGAAAGGTGTTCCAGAGTCAGGGGGCCACCACAGAAAAGGCCCTGTCTCGCGTCCCCACCAAACACGCTTGTGACGCAGGCGGGATCACGAGCAGGGCCTCTCCAGATGACCGAAGTGAACGCGTGGGTTCGTAGACGGAGATGCGGTCATGCAGGTAGGGTGGTCCCAAACCGTTCAGGGCTTTGTAGGTAAGCACCTGCACCTTAAATTGGGCTCGGAAAATAAACGGCAGCCAGTGGAGCTCCTTGAACAGGAGGGTTGACCTCTCTCTGTAAGGGGCCCCAGTTAACATCCTGGCTGCTGCCCGTTGGACCAGTTGGAATTTCCGAGCCGTTTTCAAGGGCAGCCCCACGTAGAGCGCATTGCAGTAATCCAATCTGGAGGTGACCAAGGCATGGACCACCCCGGCCAGATCAGCCGGCGCGCCTCCTTTTTGGGCACCCTTTCTTCGGGCTTGGGGGCGTCGATCCCGATCACTACCCCACCCAGTTCCTCCCCTTCCTCCCCTCTTCCTGGTTTAGAGACCCTTCTTTTCCTTGGAGAGGGAGAGCTCTTTTGCAAAACGCATGCCAAGCTCGACGCACGGCGCGCCTCCTTTTTGGGCACCTCCTCTTTGGGCTAGGAAGCCTTGATCCCGACTGCTATCCCTCCCAGTTCCTCCTCTTCCTTCACTCTTCCTCCTCTCTTCCTGGCTTGGAGACCCTTCCCTTTCCCCGGAAAGAGCTGCGTTGGAGAGGGAGAGCTCTTTTCCAAAAGTGTGCCAAGCTTTACGCACGGCGCGCCTCCTTTTTGGGCACGCCCTCTTCGGGCTTGGGGGCGCAGATCCCGATTGTTACCCCCTCCCAGTTCCTTTTCCTCTTCCCCCTCTCTTCATCCTCCTCTTCCTGGCTTGGAGAGCCTTCCTTTTCCTGGAGAGAGCGACGTTAAAAAGGAGAGCTCTTTTGCAAAAAGCGTGCCAAGCTTGACGCACGGCGCGCCTCTTCTTTGGCTTTGTGGGGGCGTTGATCCCGACTGCTACCCCCCCCCTTCCTCCCGTTCCTCCTCCTCTTCCTCCTCCTCTTCCTGGCTTGGAGAGCCTTCCCTTCCCCGGAAAGAGCGGCGTTGGAGAGGGAGAGCTCTCTTGCAAAAGCGTGCCAAACTTTACGCACGGCGCGCCTCCTTTTTGGGCACCCCCTCTTCAGGCTTGGAGGCGTAGATCCCGATTACTATCCCTCCCCGTTCCTCCTCCTCTTCCTCCTTTCTTCTTCCTCCTCCTGTTCTTGGCTTGGAGAGCTTTGTCTTCTCTGGAGGGACAGCTCTTTGGCTAACAGCCGGCCAAGCTTGACGCACCAAGCTTGACGCACGGCTCGCCTCCTTGTGGGCCCCTCCTCTTCGGGCTTGGGGGGCGTAGATCCCGATTGCTGTCCCTCCCCGTTCCTCCTCCTCTTCCTCCTCCTCTTCCTGGCTTGGAGAGCCTTCCCTTCCCCGGAAAGAGCGGCGTTGGAGAGGGAGAGCTCTCTTGCAAAACTGTGCCCAGCTTGACGCACGGCGCGCCTCCTTGTGGGCAGCTCCTCTTCGGGCTTGGGGGCCTCGATCCCGATTGCGACCCCTCGCAGCTCCTCCTCCTTGTCCTCCTGCTCTTCCTCCCCCTTTTCCTGGCTTGGCGAGCCTTTCCTTCCTTCCTTCCTTCCCCGGGTTCTCTCTCCGCTTGGTCAGCAGCAGCAGCATCAGCATCATCATCCATGGCGCAGGAGGAGGAAGGCGCAGGAGGGGAGAGCGGCGGCGGCGGTGGTGGGGGTCTCCTGCTGGAGCTGGTGAGCTCCCCGCTGAACCTGAGCCTGCTGGGCCTGTGTCTCTTCCTGCTCTACCAGATCCTGCGCGGGGACCGGGGCCGGGCCCAGCCCGAGGGCGAGGAGGACGCGCCCCCGCCCCTGCCCAAGCTCCGCCGCCGGGACTTCACCCTGGCCGAGCTGCGCCCCTTCGACGGCATCCAGAACCCCCGCATCCTCATGGCCATCAACGGGAAGGTCTTCGACGTCTCCCGCGGGAGGAAGTTCTACGGGCCCGGTGAGAAAGAAAGAGAGGAGGGAGAGGGGCCTCGGGTGGGGAAGGGGGCCTGCGCCTTCCCCACTGCACACATCCCGTGCCAAACATGGGCTTCAGGCAAGGACGGAGGGAGTGCCATGGGCAGGCTCGGGTCTTGGGGTTTGGGAGGCTGGGCCCTCCCCAGGTCACCAGCAAGACCAGTCCTGTAGGTTTGCCCTGAAGCTGGGCTTGTATGGAAGTCGGAACTGGGGCATTTCCAGCCATATATACACTTGTAACCTGGGGGGGGGGGGGTCTGGGTTGGGGAAGTGGATCTGCGCCTTCCTCTCTGCCCACATCCATTTGCAAACATGGGTTTCAGGCAAGGACACAGGGAGTGCCAAGATACGAACAAGACCAGTCCTGTAAGTTTGCCCCGAAGTTGGGTTTGTATGGAAGTCGGAACTGGGGCATTTCCAACCATATATCTACTTGTAACTTGGGGACTGTCTCTGTGTGTGTGTGTGTGTGTGTGTTTGTGGCACAGATCCAGTTGCAAACATGGGTTTCAGGCAAGGACAGAGGGAGTGCCGTGGGCAAGCTCTGGTCTTGGGATTTGGTAGGCAGGGCCATCCTCAAGTCACCACCAAGATCAGCCCTGAAGGTTTGCCCTGAAGCAGGGTTTGTATGGAAGTCGGAACAGGGGCATTTCCAGTCATATACACTTGTAACCTCTGTGTGTGTGTGGGAAGAGGGGCCTGGGTTGGGGAAGGGGCCCGCGCCTTCCTCCCTGTCCACATCCCGTTCCAAACATGGGCTTCAGGCAAGGACGGAGGGAGTGCCATGGGAAGGCTCGAGTCTTGGGGTTTGGGAGGCAGGGCCCTCCCCAGGTCACCAGCAAGACCAGCCTTGACGTTGGATTTGTATGTAAGTCGGAACTGGGGCATTTCCAGCCACATATATATACTTAGACAAGTATATATAAACCCAACTTTTCTTAGAATTTGGTAGGCAGGCCCATTTCCAAGTCACCACCAAGATCAGTCTTGTAGGTCTGCCCAGAAGTTGGATTTGTATGGAAGTTGGAACAGGGGCATTTCCAGCCATATCTATACTTGTCTTGGGGTTTGGGAGGCAGGGCCCTCCCCAGGTCACCAGCAAGACCAGCCTTGACGTTGGATTTGTATGTAAGTCGGAACTGGGGCATTTCCAGCCACATATATATACTTAGACAAGTATATATAAACCCAACTTTTCTTAGAATTTGGTAGGCAGGCTATTTCCAAGTCACCACCAAGATCAGTCCTGTAGATCAGAACAGGGGCATTTCCAGTCATATATATACTTGGACAAGTATATATATGGCTGGAAATGCCCCGGTTCCAACTTACATACAAACCCAACTTGTCTTGGGATTTGGTAGGCAGGCCATCCCCAAGTCACCACCAAGACCAGCCCTGAAGCTTTGCCCTGAAGTTGGGTGTGTATGGAAGTCGGAACTGGGGCGTTCCCTTTCTTTTTTTTCAAATATTTTTATTGGTTTTCTTAGAATACATCAATACATCAATACCTTCAATAATCTTATATTCCATCCTCAATTCATTACATCAACCAAAGTGTATATATATCTTGTATATTTCCCCCTGCCCGCCCCCCTTCCGAGCCACTTCAATTTGTATTCTCTTTCCAAAATACCATTTCTTCTTGTGGAGGCAATTTCCCATCTACTTCTTTTACGCCATTCTCAATATATTTTCCCCAAACTTCATCAAAGTCGTTTTCCTTCCATACCCCTTTCCTGACTCTTAACCTATATGTCAATTTATCATTTATTGCTATTTTCCATAGTTCTTTATACCATTCTTCAATTGATATGCTTATTTTACCTTTCCAATTCTTCGCTATCAGTAATCTTGCTGCAGTTAACATGTTATGTATTGCATCTTTCTCTGTTTTATTTTTTTCAATTTCTTAACATTAGGAACTGGGGCATTTCCAGCCATATATATGCTTGTAACTTGGGGGCTGCCTGTGTTTGTGTTTGTGGCACAGATCCAGTTGCAAACAGGGACAGAGGGAGTGTCATGGGCAGGCTCGGGTTTTGGGATTTGGTAGGCAGGGCGTCCCCAAGTTATTTATTTATTTATTTATTTATTTATGTTACTTATACCCCGCCCTTCTCACCCCCGAGGGGGGACTCAGGGCGGCTTACAAAAAAGGCAGAATTCGATGCCCATATCCAAATACATACATATATAAACAATTAAAATAATTAAACAATTAACAGATTAAAAACATCAATATATAACACAGTAGCACAATAGTAACAGTCTCATGGTCAGTGTTTCGAGTTCCATAGGTCCATTACGTTTCGTCATTATTTGCCCATCATTATGGTCTTTCTTTTTAGCTGCCAGAGTTTCCAAAAGCCTGGTCCCACATCCAAGTTTTCAGCTTTTTCCTGAATGAGAGAAGGGAAGTCGCTGATCTGATCTCCCCGGGGAGTGAGTTCCACAGGTGGGGGGCCACCACCGAGAAGGCCCTGCTCCTCGTCCCCGCCAGTCTCACTTGTGATAGAGGCGGGGCCGAGAGCAGGGCCTCCCCAGAAGATCTTAAACTCCGAGGTGGGACGTAGAGGGAGATCCGTTCGGACAGATACACTGGGCCGGAACCGTATAGGGTTTTGTAGGTCAAAACCAGCACCTTGAATTGTGCTCGGAATTGGATTGGCAGCCAGTGGAGCTGGCATAACAGGGGCTAGTCCTGTAGGTTTGCCCTGAAGATGGGTTTGCACGGAAGTCGGAACTAGGGCATTTCCAGTCATATGTATACTTGTAATTTGGGGGCTGACTATGTGTGTGTGGGGGGGGGGGGGAGGCCAGGGTTGGGGAAGGAGACCTACGCCTTCTTTCCTGCACAGTTCCAGTCTCTGTGCATGTGTATACACACATACACAAGCAGTTCCTGAGTTACGAGCAAGAGAGGTTCTGTGAGTTTGTTCTTAAGTTGAGTTTGTTTTTAAATCGGAACAGGGACATTATTAAATGTAATGTGTGTATATACAGTATATATATATATATGTATGTGTGTATATATGTGTGTGTATATATATATACACGCGTTTGTGTGCACACACATACTATATTTGTATCCTGCCCTTCTCACCCTGGAGAGGACTCAAGGCGGCAATTCGATGCCAAACATACATGTTTCTATACACAGTTACAATTAAAACCAAACAACCCAATACATAAATAATGAAAACATCCTTTTCCACGAGCCCACCCACTTTGGTTCCCAATGAATCCGATGGTTCCACCACACTCTTGCAAGTCAAGATTGCGCCACGGATGGCCTGCCCGTACTTTCCCCTGCAATCCCTCCTGGTAAAGATTGGGCAATGCTGCTCCTCCACCTCTTAGGTAATGTTTACCAAGAGGCCGATCAGGCTTGGCTGGAATTTCTGGTGAAGGTTCAAAGGAAGAGAAGCATCTCGCATGGACTCTTTGCCCTCCTTCTCTCTGGCTTTCAGGGCATGGTTTAGATTTCAACAGAGCAACCAATTTCAAGCGGTTTGGCCTTTTTAATCTCCCTGTTCAAATGTTTGCATGGACAACAAGTTGCAGAGGTTTAACGTCCTATTCCATGAGACGTATATGGGTGGAGAGGGTCCAATTGTAGCGCATACGGCACCATGAATACTTAACATCTGATGAAATTGCATGAATATATTTTAAATTAACCAGGACAGGTCCTGACCAATATATAGCTATTATTATTATTATTATTATTATTATTATTATTATTATTATTATTATGACTTTATTGTATGGAAATTAGGGTATGTCTTATAATCAATGGCATATTATTATTATTATTATTATTATTATTATTATTATTTTACTGACACAAAAACACAGTATGTCACAGCAAAGGAGATCTATATGCTAGATTTCATATTATTATTATTATTATTACTATTGTATGGAAATTGTTGTTGTTGTTCATTCGTTCAGTCGTCTCCGACTCTTCGTGACCTCATGGACCAGCCCACGCCAGAGCTCCCTGTCGGCCGTCACCACCCCCAGCTCCTTCAAGGTCAGTCCAGTCACTTCAAGGATGCCATCCATCCACCTTGCCCTTGGTCGGCCCCTCTTCCTTTTGCCTTCCACTTTCCCCAGCATCATTGTCTTCTCTAGGCTTTGCTGTCTCCTCATGATGTGGCCAAAGGACTTCAACTTTGTCTCTAGTCTCCTTCCCTCCAATGAGCAGTCGGGCTTTATTTCCTGGAGGATGGACTGGTTGGATCTTCTCGCAGTCCAAGGCACTCTCAGAACTTTCCTCCAACACCACAGCTCAAAAGCATCTCTCTTCCTTCGCTCGGCCTTCCCTAAGGTCCAGCTCTCACATCCGTAGGTGACTACAGGGAAGACCATGGCTTTGACTAGGCAATGGATCTTTGTTGCCAGTGTGATGTCTCTACTCTTTACTATTTTATCGAGATTGGACATTGCTCTCCTCCCAAGAAGGAAGCGTCTCCTGATTTCCTGGCCACAGTCTGCATCTGCAGTAATCTTTGCACCTAGAAATACAAACCCTGTCACAGCCTCCACGATTTCTCCCTCTATTTCCCAGTTGTCAATCATTCTTGTTGCCATAATCTTGGTTTTTTTGATGTTTAGCTGCAACCCGGCTTTTGCGCTTTCTTCTTTCACCTTGATTAGAAGGCTCCTCAGCTCCTCCTCGCTTTCGGCCATCGAAGTGGTGTCATCTGCATATCTAAGGTTGTTAATGTTTCTTCCAGCAATTTTCCCAGCTTTGCATTCATCAAGCCCCGCACAACGCATGATGTGTTCTGCATACAAGTTAAAAAGGTTGGGTGAGAGGATGCAGCCTTGCCGGACGCCTTTCCCAATCTTGAACCCGTCTGTTGTTCCGTGGTCAGTTCTTATGTCTTATAATCAATGGTATGTTATTATTATTATTATTATTATTATTATTATTATTGACACAAACACACAGTATGTCACAGCAAAGGAGACCTATATGCTGGATTTTGGATTATTACTATTATTATTATTATTATTATTATTATTATTATTATTATGACTATTGTATGGAAATTAGGGTATGTTTTACAATCGATAGCATATTATTATTATTATTATTATTATTATTATTTTACTGGCACAAAAACACAGGATGTCACAGCAAAGGAGATCTATATGCTGGATTTCATATTATTATTATTATTATTATTATTACTCTATTGTATAAATAAAGATTATTATTATTATTTTTACTGACACAAAAACACAGTATGTCACAGCAAATGAGATCTATATGCTGGATTTCGTATCCCAAAATCACGAGTCGAACCAAACAAGGTCACTCTGCTGGCTATTGTGTTGGATCACACGTCGGACACTTCCTAAGTGCCTAAGACTGTGTGATGTATAGGCGAATAATGCGTACAGATTCAAGTAGGGTGGCCTTTTGCAGCTGTCAGGCAGTGATTTTGCCAGCGCTGATTGTTTTTAAGTGCAGGCCAAGGACTTTAGGCGCTGCACCCAGTGTGCCAATCACCACTGGGACCACCTTGACAGGCTTGTGCTTTACTGGCTTATTATTATTTTCATTAATTATTATTAAAATTGCTGTCTTATTATTTCTGTCCCTGTTGGCGCAGTGGGTTAAACCGCTGAGCTGCTGAACTTGCTGACCGAAGAGTCAGTGGTTCATACTCACAGGATGGGGTGAGCTCCCGCTGTTATCCCCAGCTCCTGCCATCTAGCAGTTCAAAAACATGTAAATGTGAGTAGATCAATAGGTACCATTTCTGCTGGATGCAGTCATGCAGTCCACATGACCTTGGAGGTGTCTATGAACAACGCCGGCTCTTCAGATTGGAAATGAAGATGAGCACCACACCCCAGAGTCGGACATGACTGGACTTAATGTCAAGGAGAAACCTTTACCTACTGTATTATTATTTCTGCCCTGGTGGCCCAGTAGGTTAAAGCGCTGAGCTGCTGAACATGCTGACCGAAAGGTCAGTGGTTCGAACCTGCAGGATGGGGTGAGCTCCCACTGTTAGCCCCAGCTTCTGCCAACCTAGCAGTTCAAAAACTTGCAAATGTGAATAGATCAATACATGCTGCTTCTGGGGGAAAGTAATGGTGCTCCATGCAATTATGCTGGCCACATGACCTTGGAGGTGTCTATGAACAACGCCGGCTCTTCAGCTTAGAAATGGAGACACAGCTAGACTTAATGTCAAGGGGAAACCTTTAACTTTACCTTACCTTCCAATATTATTAATAATATAAATATTATTATTATTTATTATGAATAATAATATTATTGATCTTAATATTGCTTTATTATTATTAGTTACTTGCCTCTCCTCACTCTCATATATAAGCACAAAGAGCAAGAATGGAGAAGATACTGTTTATGGCCCATTGCAAGGAAAAATATTACCAGTTTGGGGAGTCCTGAGATTTATCGTCATTGGAAGCACTTTTAAATTTAATTTCGGATCAAAGGATCGGGAACTGAGCATATTAGAAGAAATGCATGCATGTGTAGAGCTTTGCCTTGCATGCCATCTGTGTGGGAGGAGCGCATGGCACATTGCACAAGGCCTGGGTGTTCCGTGCAATCTCTGCCTCTCTTTGCAACGAACAGGCTCAAAGGCCAGGGCCAGGCAGGGAGATGGTTCAGGCACAGATAACAGAGGCCCCTTCATATGCAACACAGCCGTTCCCTTTTGCAAAGCTTTTATTTACATTGACTTTAATGCTCTGAAATGTTCTCAAATATGCAGGGATGGGGATGCTCTCTAAGAAATCCAAGGAGAAGAAAACTTGCAGCTTGGAAGCAGTGCATTTGGATCACCCTCCTCTCCTAAAGGGCCTGGTCTAGGGGATAATGGGAGATGTAGTCCAGAAGAGAGTGTGGATATGCTATTGTGTGTTTGTTTGCTGGGGGAGTCATTTTTGCGCATGCGTTGTAACGCCTTTTTTTTTGTTTTTTGGCTTTTTAAGTCCCTTCCGCTGCGTTTTTCAGTGTTTTTATGAGTGGTGGTCACTCGTTGGCCTGAGAGGTGTCTTATGTCCAAATTTGGTGTCAATTCACCCAGTGGTTTTTGAGTTATGTCAATCCCACAAACGAACATTACATTTTTATTTATTTATATATTTATATATTTATTTATTTATTTGGTGCATTTGTTGACCGCCGCTCTCAGCCCTGGGGCGACTCGCGGCGGTGTACAACATATAAAAACCATTTACAATAGAACACAAACAGAGAATCAACATATCAAAATACACAATAATCTAAATTACACTAAATAATCCGCTCCGTTCCATCATCGAATCGTAACCAGTCTCGTAATCCATTTCGTTCCGGTTGTCATTACCAATTAGTATAGCACTCAGTTAAATGCCTTCTCGAATAGCCAGGTCTTTAAGCTCTTACGGAAGGACATAAGGGAGGGCGCCTGTCTAATGTCAGCAGGGAGAGCGTTCCACAGCCGGGGGGCCACCACCGAGAAGGCCCTCTCTCTCGTCCCCGCCAGGCGTGCCTGTGAGGCAGGCGGGATCGAGAGAAGGGCCTCCCCAGACGATCTCAAGGCCCTCGTGGGCTCATAGGCCGAGATGCGGTCCGAAAGGTATATCTATAAAGATATAGATGTCTTTATTTACTAGCCATCCCCTGCCACGCGTTGCTGTGGCCCAGTCTGTCTATTTATTTATTTATTTATTTATTTACTACGCTTCTATACCGCCATTCTCAGCCCGAGGGCAACTCCCGGCGGTTTACAAAACGGTACAATTCGATGCCCACAACAGTACAAAAATAATTTAAACATTTAAAACATTTAACACAGGTAAAAATTCATTACAATTAACACCAGTAACACAATAAAAACTGTAAGTCCTCTGCATTTCATTACCAGTCATTATCCAGTCACGTTGTCCAACCGTTCCGAGATCAGAGTTTAATAGTTACACTGCGTTTGGGAAGGCCTGCTCATATAGCCTGGTTTTAACATTTTTGCGAAATGTTAAGAGGGTGGGGGCTGATCTAATGTCCCTGGGGAGGGCATTCCACAACCGAGGGGCCACCGCTGAGAAGGCCCTATCCCTCGTCCCCGCCAATTGAGCAGGACCGAGAGCAGGGCCTCCCCAGAAGGTCTTAAATTCCTAGAGGGTTCCTAAGGGGAGATACGTTCGGACAGGTAAGCAGGGCCAGAACCTGTATGTGTGTTGTGTGTGTATATATATATTTGTATATGTGTGCGATCCATGCAGTCATGCCAATGGCCACATGACCTTGGAGGTGTCTACGGATAACGCCGGCTCTTTGGCTTAGAAATGGAGATGGGCCCCACACTCCAGATTCGGACACAACTGGACTTTGTGTCAGGGGAATACCTTTACCTATATATATTTGTATATATGTGTGTGTGTGTTTGTGTATATATATTTGTGTGTGTGCATATATGTGGTTTTGTGCATGCACTGTAGCATCTTTTTTGCTTTTTTGGCTTTTGAAGTCTCTTCCACTGTGCTTTTCAGTGTTTTTCTGAGTGATGGTCACTTGTTGGCCTGAGAGGTGTCTTGTGTCCAAATTTGGTGTCAATTCGTCCAGTGGTTTTTGAGTTCTGTTAATCCCACAAACCAACATTACATTTTTATTTATATAGATTATCTATCTATCATTATTATTGTTAAGGAGCCCCCAGTGGCGCAGTGGGTTAAACCCCTGTGCGGGCAGGACTGAAGACCGACAGGTCGCAGGTTCGAATCCGGGGAGAGGTGGATGAGCTCCCTCTATCAGCTCCAGCTTCTCATGCGGGGACATGAAAGAAGCCTCCCACAAGGATGATAAAACATCAAAAATCATCCGAGCATCCCCTGGGCAATGTCCTTGCAGACGGCCAATTCTCTCACACCAGAAGCGACTTGCAGTTTCTCAGGTTGCGCCTGACACGACAAAAAAAATTGTTGTTGTTGTTGTTATTACACATGCAAAGTTTGCAAAGTTAGGAAGCGGGCTTCTCCACCTTTAAAATGCTGTGTTTCCTCCTTGTTTTGTGCTGTGCCCGCGAAGAGGGTCCTTATGGGATATTTGCCGGAAGAGACGCGTCCAGAGGCCTTGCCACCTTCTGCCTGGATAAAGAAGGCCTGAAGGAGGAATACGACGACCTCTCCGACCTGGACGCCACGCAGAGAGAGACCCTGAGCGACTGGGAGCAGCAGTTCACCTGTAAGTCTTCCCAGGCCCAAGCCTTGCCCAAGATGGTTGCATGCTTGTAATTGCAAGGTTTTAGGGACTTGCTTCATGTCTGCGTGCATGAATATTTCTATATTGCACATTGCAACACGATTTTTGTTCCTGGGTTCTAAATGGCATTTCATAATTGGTTCTATCATGAAAAGAAAAATTTACAAGCTGAATTTAGTGCTGATAGGTTAATGTGGCTAATGCGTCCGAAGCACAATTTCCAGTATTGTTTATTTATTAAGAATTACCTGTATTTATTCGAATCTAATGCTTAAATGACCTTGCAAAAATTAGGGTGCGCATTACATTTGCTTAATAGAGCAACCTTAGTGCTGACCCAAAGCAAAAGGGGAACTCGAGATCCTATTTGAAGGATACTGTCTCTAATTTAACTGCATTGGCTCAACGCTATGCGCTGCTGGGATTTGTAGGAATGAGAAAGAGAAAGAGAAGGAGAGAGAGGAAAGAGAAGGAAAGACAAGAGGGAAGAAAGGAAGGAGAAAGAGAAGGAGGGAGGAAAGAGAAGGAAAGACAAGAGGAAAGGAAGGAAGGAGAAAGAGAAGGAGGGAGGAAAGAGAAGGAAAGACAAGAGGAAAGGAAGGAAGGAGAAAGAGAAGGAGAGAGAGGAAAGAGAAGGAAAGACAAGAGGGAAGAAAGGAAGGAGAAAGAGAAGGAGGGAGGAAAGAGAAGGAAAGACAAGAGGAAAGGAAGGAAGGAGAAAGAGAAGGAGGGAGGGAGGAAAGAGAAGGAAAGACAAGAGGAAAGAAAGGAATGAGAAAGAGAAGGAGAGAGAGGAAAGAGAAGGAAAGACAAGAGGGAAGAAAGGAAGGAGAAAGAGAAGGAGGGAGGGAGGAAAGAGAAGGAAAGACAAGAGGAAAGGAAGGAAGGAGAAAGAGAAGGAGGGAGGGAGGAAAGAGAAGGAAAGACAAGAGGAAAGAAAGGAATGAGAAAGAGAAGGAGAGAGAGGAAAGAGAAGGAAAGACAAGAGGGAAGAAAGGAAGGAGAAAGAGAAGGAGGGAGGGAGGAAAGAGAAGGAAAGACAAGAGGAAAGAAAGGAATGAGAAAGAGAAGGAGAGAGAGGAAAGAGAAGGAAAGACAAGAGGGAAGAAAGGAAGGAGAAAGAGAAGGAGGGAGGGAGGAAAGAGAAGGAAAGACAAGAGGAAAGGAAGGAAGGAGAAAGAGAAGGAGGGAGGGAGGAAAGAGAAGGAAAGACAAGAGGAAAGAAAGGAATGAGAAAGAGAAGGAGAGAGAGGAAAGAGAAGGAAAGACAAGAGGGAAGAAAGGAAGGAGAAAGAGAAGGAGGGAGGGAGGAAAGAGAAGGAAAGACAAGAGGAAAGGAAGGAAGGAGAAAGAGAAGGAGGGAGGGAGGAAAGAGAAGGAAAGACAAGAGGAAAGAAAGGAATGAGAAAGAGAAGGAGAGAGAGGAAAGAGAAGGAAAGACAAGAGGGAAGAAAGGAAGAGAAAGAGAAGGAGGGAGGAAAGAGAAGGAAAGACAAGAGGGAAGAAAGGAAGGAGAAAGAGAAGGAGGGAGGAAAGAGAAGGAAAGACAAGAGGAAAGGAAGGAAGGAGAAAGAGAAGGAGGGAGGGAGGAAAGAAGGAAAGACAAGAGGAAAGAAAGGAATGAGAAAGAGAAGGAGAGAGAGGAAAGAGAAGGAAAGACAAGAGGGAAGAAAGGAAGGAGAAAGAGAAGGAGGGAGGGAGGAAAGAGAAGGAAAGACAAGAGGAAAGGAAGGAAGGAGAAAGAGAAGGAGGGAGGGAGGAAAGAGAAGGAAAGACAAGAGGAAAGAAAGGAATGAGAAAGAGAAGGAGAGAGAGGAAAGAGAAGGAAAGACAAGAGGGAAGAAAGGAAGGAGAAAGAGAAGGAGGGAGGAAAGAGAAGGAAAGACAAGAGGAAAGGAAGGAAGGAGAAAGAGAAGGAGGGAGGGAGGAAAGAGAAGGAAAGACAAGAGGGAAGAAAGGAAGGAGAAAGAGAAGGAGGGAGGGAGGAAAGAGAAGGAAAGACAAGAGGAAAGAAAGGAATGAGAAAGAGAAGGAGAGAGAGGAAAGAGAAGGAAAGACAAGAGGGAAGAAAGGAAGGAGAAAGAGAAGGAGGGAGGGAGGAAAGAGAAGGAAAGACAAGAGGAAAGGAAGGAAGGAGAAAGAGAAGGAGGGAGGGAGGAAAGAGAAGGAAAGACAAGAGGAAAGAAAGGAATGAGAAAGAGAAGGAGAGAGAGGAAAGAGAAGGAAAGACAAGAGGGAAGAAAGGAAGGAGAAAGAGAAGGAGGGAGGAAAGAGAAGGAAAGACAAGAGGAAAGGAAGGAAGGAGAAAGAGAAGGAGGGAGGGAGGAAAGAGAAGGAAAGACAAGAGGAAAGAAAGGAATGAGAAAGAGAAGGAGAGAGAGGAAAGAGAAGGAAAGACAAGAGGGAAGAAAGGAAGGAGAAAGAGAAGGAGGGAGGGAGGAAAGAGAAGGAAAGACAAGAGGAAAGGAAGGAAGGAGAAAGAGAAGGAGGGAGGAAAGAGAAGGAAAGACAAGAGGAAAGGAAGGAAGGAGAAAGAGAAAGAGAAGGAGAGAGAGGAAAGAGAAGGAAAGACAAGAGGGAAGAAAGGAAGGAGAAAGAGAAGGAGGGAGGGAGGAAAGAGAAGGAAAGACAAGAGGAAAGGAAGGAAGGAGAAAGAGAAGGAGGGAGGGAGGAAAGAGAAGGAAAGACCAGCAACCTTCAACAGAGAAGGCCAAGACTTTTATTTGTTTGTTTGTTTGTTTATTTATTTATGACATCTATATGCTGCCCTTCCCACCCCAAAGGGGACTCGGAGTGGCTTGTAAGATATATATATACACATACAATACATTATATTATTAGCATAGTACAATATCAGTATTATATATTACTATATTGTACTATACCATTATATTGTAATATTATTAGTAATATTACATGTAATATAAAATATATAATTATATCATATTATTAGTATTATATTATATTACATTATAATATCATTTATATGTAATGTAATATATTAGATTAGATTACATTATATTATATTATTAGCATAATATAATTCCATCTTGCAACACGGTTCACATGTTCCCTCTCAGTCTTCTCTTCTCCCAGCTCACCATCCCCCAGGAGGAAAGGAGGAAGGAAAAAGAGAAGGAAGGAAGTATAGAAGAGGATGGAGGGAGGAAGGGAAGTAGAAAAGGAAAGGAAGGAAGGAAGGAGAAAAAGGCTGAGGGAAGGGGGGAGAAAAGAGAAGAAAAGGGGAAAGAAGAGAGGAAAGAGAAGGAAAGACAAGAGGGAAGAAAGGAAGGAGAAAGAGAAGGAGGGAGGGAGGAAAGAGAAGGAAAGACAAGAGGAAAGGAAGGAAGGAGAAAGAGAAGGAGGGAGGGAGGAAAGAGAAGGAAAGACAAGAGGAAAGAAAGGAATGAGAAAGAGAAGGAGAGAGAGGAAAGAGAAGGAAAGACAAGAGGGAAGAAAGGAAGGAGAAAGAGAAGGAGGGAGGAAAGAGAAGGAAAGACAAGAGGAAAGGAAGGAAGGAGAAAGAGAAGGAGGGAGGAAAGAGAAGGAAAGACAAGAGGAAAGGAAGGAAGGAGAAAGAGAAGGAGGGAGGAAAGAGAAGGAAAGACAAGAGGAAAGGAGGGAGGGAAGAAAGAGAATGAAGGAAAGACAAGAGGGAAGGAAAGACAAGAGGGAAGGAAGGAAAAAGAGGGAAGGAGGGAGGGAAGAAAGAGAATGAAGGAAAGACAAGAAGGACGAAAGGAGAAAGAGAGAGAAGGAGGGAGGGAGGGAGGGAGGAAAGAGGGAAGGCAGGAAGGACAAAAGGGAACGAGGGAGGGAGAAAGAGGAAGGGAAGGAGGAAGGAAAGAGAGTAAGAAAGATAGGATAGGATGGTGAGAGAGAGGAGAGTCTGAGAAAAGAGCCCAAGGGACCGCATCTGGCCCCCGGGCCTGGGTTTCCCGTATCTGTTCTACAGCAAAGATGCACCCCAATGTTTTCCTTCCCATTGCTGGAAGCTTTGGTGTCCCAACTCAATGGTTTCTAAGGAAGGAATCCTAAGCAGACAGCAAGTGCAATGCGCACCTTTTGGGGCCAAATGACCTAGAGCACACTTTTTGCACATGAAATTCAGCAGCAAACACTTTCTTTGTTTTTGGAGTTTGCAAATCAAGGTGTGCATTCGATTTAATGGTGCATGAGACTCGAATCATTAAAAAACCCTGGGAAATCTGACCCGGGTCTTGGCTTGAATAATGAATATCCTTCTTGGCAGGCTCTCATTTGACTGGTTTTTGAAATCGAAGCAGAACTGGTTTCTCTTGTCTTCAGGATTAAGTAGCTTCTCATGTTTCTCTTAAGGTGGTATAGACTGCTTTAAATGCCTTAAATGGTGGCTTAAATAGCCTTGTTTTCTCCCCTTCTCCTTTCTCATTCAGTTAAATACCACTATGTTGGCAAACTGCTGAAGGATGGAGAAGAGCCCACTGTGTATTCGGATGGAGAAGAGACGAAAGAAGAGCAAGATCGCAAAAACGATTAAGCCAAGTTGGAGAAGATCGTTCTGAAGGTGGTTGGTTGGTTTTAGTATCTTTTTTAAAACAGAAATCACAGGACTTTGTGTCACATTCCGGTTCGATTCCACCACTTTTGATTTCGGAAATGGTATGGCTCGTTGTCATTCAATGCAGTTCAATTTGCATTCCCAAATGAACCCTGGATGCTCTTAAATTGAAGCAATGCAAATCCAATTGGCATTGAATCAAAGAATACCGAACATGAAAGACCCATTGAAAATGCACCGCCTCATTGGTTGGTGCAACTGGGGTGGGTCTTGGTTCCAAAACACGTAATGCATAATTATACATTATGGCGACCAAAAGCTTTCCTGCATCTTCTTTGCCTCCGATTAACATTCCCTTTGCAACATTATTTTGCAATGACCTGCATACTTAATCTTTCCCATCATACTTTTTGCGAGTCCCTACTTTTGGTTTGTGCCGAATCGAGGCCAAATCGTTGCCGATACGAACGGTTCGAAGCTATAGATGGGAGCAAACAAGAAGAAAGTAGACATAACTTTGCATCTTCTTTGCCTCCAATTAACATTCCCTTTGCAAGATTATTTTGCAATGACCTGCATACTTAATCTTTCCCATCATACTTACGTACCATTCGCGAGTCCCTACTTTTGGTTTGTGCTGAGTTGAGGCCAAATCGTTGCAGATACGAACGGTTCGAAGCTATAGATGTGAGCAAACAAGAAAGTAGACATAACTTTCCATCTTCTTTGCCTCCAATTAACATTCCCTTTGCAAGATTATTTTGCAATGACCTGCATACTTAATCTTTCCCATCATACTTACATACAATTTGTGAGTCCCTACTTTTGGTTTGTGCTGCATTGAGGCCAAATTGTTGCCGATACGAACGGTTCGAAGCTATAGATGGGAGCAAACAAGAAGAAAGTAGACATAACTTTGCATCTTCTTTGCCTCCAATTAACATTCCCTTTGCAAGATTATTTTGCAATGACCTGCATACTTAATCTTTCCCATCATACTTACGTACCATTCGCGAGTCCCTACTTTTGGTTTGTGCCGAGTTGAGGCCAAATCGTTGCAAATACGAACGGTTCGAAGCTATAGATGTGAGCAAACAAGAAGAAAGTAAACATAACTTTCAAATCTGCTTGTTGACATGCAGAGCTGCGTCCTCCACGCGGCCTACTTTGTTTACCTTGCACACACATCTTCAGTATTGATGATATCTTGGTTTGGCCTGGTTTAAATAAGCTAAACCCTATCTTCTCCTAAAGAAGAACCTGTTCCCAGGAAGCTTGGCAATGTATCCTGCTTTTAGTATTAAGAAACGTTAATGGAGAGGTAAACATAATTGCAAAACAGTGGTTGAAGGCTGAGCTTTGGACATAGGCACTGCCAGTGATGCTTGCAAATGGACTTGGAGAGAATACTTCCAAAATACGAGGGTGAATGAAAAGTAATGCCTCCACCTTCATAACTCCTCAACAGATAGCAGTACTGGTATGCGACAGGTACTGGCTTGTTCAGTAGACTCTCCTCTACAGTTCCATTTTGGCGGGAAACCTTAGCATTGAACAGTTGTGTTGTTAAAGTGTGAAGTATGGAACCTTGTGCAGATGGTCAATACGACTTAAGCAACGTGCAGTCATTGAATTCTTGACAGCAGAAGGTGTCACCTCAACATCTTTAAACTTAATCACACCAACACAATCACCATCAACAGCTTGCATTCTCTGATGAATCTCCATTGGATTTTGTGTGTGTGTGTGTGTGTGTGTGTGTGTGTCAGGAGCGACCTGAGAAACTGCAAGTCGCTTCTGGTGTGAGAGAATTGGCCGTCTGCAAGGACGTTGCCCAGGGGACGCCTGGATGATTTGATGTTTTTATCATCCTTGTGGGAGGCTTCTCTCATGTCACCGCTTGGGGAGCTGGAGCTGACAGAGGGAGCTCATCCACCTTTCCCTGGATTCGAACCCGCGACTTGCCGGCACAGGGGTTTAACCCACTGAGCCACCGGGGGCTCCCTCTACATCCTTTGAGGTGTCAAGGATTCAATGACTGCACGTAGCTTAAGACGCATGGATCGACCGTCTGCACAGGGTTCCATACTTCACACTTTAACAACACAACCGTTCAACGCTAAGGCTTCCTACCAAAATGGAACTGTAGAGGAGAGTCTACTGAACAAGCCAATACCTAACGCATGCCAGTACTGCCATCTGTTGAGGAGTTACGAAGGTGGAGGCATTACTTTTCATTCAACCCTTGTAATAAATTAGCACCAGTTTAGGGAAATCCAAAACAGTAGTGGTAGGTGCATTGTGTTTTTTTTATCCTTTGGGATTCCGCTTTCTTTTTGTTCGCCCCAAAGCAATAACAACTCCTGTATCCGCTGTAAACACAAACACCATTTGAGGATCCGTTTACTTCTCTCCGCTTTGGTTATTTAGGGTTTCCTTCTATTTTTTGCTTATTGGTAATCACTAGGCCTTAAAGACAGGTAGTAGACTGGGGTGTGGACCTACCTCTGGGAAGTTTTTAAGCTAATCGATAGTAAGAGAAGCGTTTTTTTGCGTTGCCGTGTCTTTCCTGTTTCGAAGCTTAAGTTGCAGCCAAGCGTTAGAATCCGCTGCTTCAAGAACAACAAGCCTGTATCTTGTTTGATTGTTTTTGCGAGACAGTGAATAAAACCTTGCTAGAAATACAACACTTTGGTTTCGTCTTAATACTAAACATCTCCTGTTTTCCTTTCTCATGAAATACATATTTCTGATGGCGCTCGTTTTGCGTCTTACCAATTCAGTAAAACAGAAGTTGGAAAAGAGTTTGTGATATTCAAGCTCAGGATAAAGAAGCGGGGAATTATTTATTTATTTATTTCACAGTTTTCTATACCAAGCTTCTCAACCTCGTCGAGGGACTCAGCCCGGTTTACAGCCATAAAAACATATACATTCATTAAAATATCATATATCACAAATTACAAAACAACTTTAAAAACACTAAATATAAAACTACAGTGGTCAGTCGTCCTAATAAGATGGATCTATATCCACTTCCATCCAGGGTCCTATGGTGTTGTCTCATTCCTCGAAGGCCTGACTCCACAGCCACGTCTTCACCCGTTTCCTAAATGTTGGGATGGATGGGGCGGTTCTGGCCTCCAGAGGGAGAGAGTTCCAGAGTCGCGGGGCCACCACCGAGAAGGTCCCTCGTCCCCACCAGCCGCGCTTGCGAGGCCGGTGGGACCGAGAGCAGGGCCTCTCCAGATGATCTTAGTAATCTTGATGGTTCGTAGGGGAGAATACGTTCGGAGAGGTAAACAGGGCCGGAGTCGTTTAGGGCTTTATAGGTCAACACCAGCACTTTGAATTGTGCTCGGAAGCTAATTGGCAGCCAGTGGAGCTGGCGTAACAGCGGAGTGGTGTGCTCCCTGTACCCAGCCCCCGTTAGTAATCTGGCTGCTGCGCGTTGGACTTGCTGCAGCTTCCGGGCAGTCTTCAAAGGCAACCCCACGTAGAGAGCGTTGCAGTAATCTAAGCGGGATGTAACCAAAGCGTGTACTACCGTGGCCAAGTCAGCTCTCCCAAGGTACGGACGCAGCTGGCGCACAAGTTTTAATTGTGCGAATGCTCCCCTGACCACCGCTGAGACCTGGGGTTCCAGGCTCAGCGATGAATCCAGGAGAACTCCCAGACTGCGTACCTGAGCTTTCAGGGGGAGTGTGACCCCGTCCAGCACAGGCTGTAACCCTACCCTGTTCGGTCTTACGACTGACCAGGAGTACCTCTGTCTTGTCTGGATTTAGTTTCAATCTGTTGTCCCTCATCCAGTCCGAGACAGCGGCCAAGCACCGGTTCATGACCTGAACAGCCTCCTTAGTGGTAGGTGGAAATGAGTGATAGAGTTGGACATCATCTGCGTACAGATGACATCGCACCCCAAAACTCCGGATGATCTCTCCCAACGGCTTCATGTATATGTTAAACAACATAGGGGACAGTACTGAACCCTGCGGGACTCCACAGTGCAATGGCCAAGGAGTCGAGCAGGAGTCCCCTAGTGACACCTTCTGGGAGCGACCCTCGAGAAAGGACCGGAGCCACTGCAAGGCAGTACCCCCAAGACCCATTCCCGCGAGGCGTCCCAGAAGGATACCGTGGTCGACGGTATCGAAGGCCGAAGAGAGGTCCAGCAGAACCAACAGGGACACACTCCCCCTGTCCAGTTCCCGGCGCAGATCATCAACTAAGGCGACCAAGGCTGTCTCAGTACCATGTCCCGGCCTAAAGCCAGACTGTGACGGATCTAGATAGTCCGTGTCCTCCAGGAATTCCTGGAGTTGCGAGGCCACCACACGTTCCAAGACTTTGCCCAAGTAGGGGAGATTGGAAACTGGCCGAAAGTTGATGAATTGAGTGGGGTCAATTACAGCTTGTTTTAGGCTGGCTGGAATCTTGCCTTCCCGAAGGGAGGCATTAACCATCACCTTCACCCGCTCTGCCAAACCCCCTCTGGCTTCTTTTACCAGCCAGGAAGGGCAGGGGTCTAGGATGCATGTGGTAGGTCTCGCCTCTCCCAGAACCCTGATGATGAAGGTACGCACCACTCTGGGAGAAAAGGAAATGGAACAGAAGCGATCTCCTTACTATTTACTAGGCTTACTATTTACTAGGTTTGTTCACCTGGAATTGCCCAGGTTGTTTGAAAAGGCCATTTCTTAATGGTACAAAATGCATAATGTTGGGGGTGAACTACAATTCACATCATGCCAGGTTAACCTCCTGAAACTCAAAGTTTGTCTTGTTGGGCAAACTTTGATGATGCTCTAGATGCATCATCAGTGAGGCTCACTGTGGTCTCCAGCTGCAGGATAAACTACAGCTCCCACCATGGTGGGTCAGTCCCCTCAAATCTCTCCAGTAGGTTCAGTTGGTCATTGGGGTTTGGTGTACCAAGTTTGGTCCAGATCTGTCACTGGTGGTGGTCACAGTATCTCTGGATGTAGATGAACTACAACTTTCAGAAATGAAGGTCAGTCGTCGTCCCCCACAAACCCCTCCAGTAGGTTAAGTTGGTTATTGGGTTTCGGTGTGCCAAGTTTGGTCCAGATCCGTCATCGGTGGTGGTCACAGTGTCTCTGGATGTAGGTGAACTACAACTTCCAGAAATGAAGGTCAGTCTCCCCCCCCCCCCCAAACCCCTCCAGTAGGTTCAGTTGGTCATTAGGGGTTTGGTGTGCCAAGTTTGGTCCAGATCCATCATTGGTGGCGGTCACAGTATCTCTGGATGTAGGTGTACTACAACTTCCAGAAATGAAGGTCAGTTCCCCCCAAACACTTCCAGTATTTTCAGCTGGTCATGGGGGTTCTGTGGGCCAAGTTTGGTCCAGATCCATCATCGGTGGTGGTCACAGTGGCTCTGGATGTAGGTGAACTACAACTTCCAGAAATGAAGGTCATTTCCCCCCAAACGCTTCCAGTATTTTCAGTTGGTCATGGTGGTTCTGTGGGCCAAGTTTGGTCCAGATCCATCACCAGTGGTGGTCATAGCATCTCTGGATGTAAGTGAACTACAACTTCCAGGAATGAAGATTAATTTCCCCCAAACCCCTCCAGTATTTTCAGTTGGTCATGGGGGTTTGTTGTGCCAAGTGAGGTCCAGGGCCATCATCAGAGTGCTCTTTGACTGCAGGTGAACTAGAAATCACATTACCTACAATGGCTATACATCAAGGTGAATTCCCCCCACCCACCCCCACCCCACAAAAAAACATCACCAGTGTATTTCCTTGGTCATGGGGGTTCTGTATGCCAAATGTGGTCCTGATCTGTCACTGGTGGGGGTCACAGTGTCTCTGGATGTAAGTGAACTACAACTTCCAGAAATGAAGATCAGTTCCCTCCAAACCCCTCCTATATTTCTAGTTAGTCATGGGGGTTCTCTGTGCCAAGTGAGGTCCAGGGCCATTGTTGGTGGGGTCCAGAGTGCTCTTTGATTGCAGGTAAACTATAAATC